GTATGGCGAGTTAGGGAAAAAATTAGTATTGCAAGCTGAAATGTGATTTTTTTTTTTTTTTGTCAATGGTAGTTTTACGGATGAATTACTAGTCATTCGTCAAAGATAATACATTTGTGCTTTGTTTTTACCGTTCAATTATGCTAATATTTCTTCATTGTTTTATATTACAAATTGAAAAAATGAATATACATTCAAGTTTGGACTATTCTCTTATATGTACTCTTGGTTTCGTGGCCCTGAAGACTAAACTTGATTGACCTTATCATCTACACCAAACAAGAAATTAAATTGTAACATTAATTTAGTGGTGGCCCTATGCTATAAAATAGAACGAGTTTCTCTTTGTAACCAATTATTATCCTTACGACATACTTTTATTTGCAATGGGCATATTCCTCGGTAATGACTTTTTTTTTATAACAAATCCACTGCTGAAGAAGCTATTGAGCCACCCCCATAATTAACAGTTCAGAATGAATTGTTTGCGCCGAAAATAAAATAAAATAGTACAATACAATCCGAATCACCATTTCAATTATGTATAAATCATTCAGGGTTTTTTTTTTGTATATACCATGAAAGTTCAGGCTCCTTAGGACATGTACATCTTCTCCGGTCGGGGTTAACAGTTGAATTAACATCTATAAATGAATCGTCACCCCTTCAAACCTAACACTCGAACTTTAAGGTTATGCTATTTTTTTTTTTTTTGTTTATATAGAATACATAAATTGGTAAAATTAATTAAAAAGCAAGTGATTCATCATAAAGCAATGAGCCATGCGTACTAATGTTCTCTAGTTCGAATCTCAACTTGTTTTTAGTTCGAATCTCAACTTCTTCTTACTACATAAAAGATTTCACGTAGTATATTCCGTACACATATTTCAAAAGTCTCAAAATTGCTTATTAATTATATACTTAATCCGAACCATGAGTGGATTTAACTCTAAAATATAAAATATAAAAAAATATACGTAAGTGTGGTTTTTTCTTTTTGTTGAATGAAGTATGGTTTTATAAACTTTTTTTTTAAGAAGAAAAATTCCTCAAATTACTTTACAAAGATGTTGGTCCAATATGTTGACAAGTAAAGAGAGAAATGTTAGTCCGA